TACAATCAGAAAATAGTAGTATATTGAATTACGGGAGGCTTTGAGTGTCTTAGGTGTCAGCTTAACATTCTATAGGTGGGGGGTTAGTTTTATGTCCTACAATATAAAGCATAATAAATGACAATTTGGAGTCATAGTCATGTATTTAATATATCTTGAATATTTGAAATTATTTCTATACCTATGTTTTCTTTTTTTTTCTTTTTTTTCTTTTTTTTGAGATAAGGTCTCTGTATGTATTCCAGGCTGGTCATGAACTCTCTATGTAGCCCAGGCTGGCCTCTGACTAGTGGCAATCCTCCTGCCTCAGCCTCCCAAGTGCTGGGATTACACCACCATGCCTGGGATTTTAGTAGAATTGTTTCTTAAGAAAAACCTTACTCCTTGATAGTTGCCATGTCAGAATTATATGCACTCATAATATCTTTGGTCTTGGTAGTCCAATTTTTCTATTAATTTTGTTAAAGTGCTGTGAAAGTTCAAAACTTTGAATATGTAGTATATATGATACGAAATTGTGAATTGGTGGACTTAAGTAACATTTTAACAGGATGTGAAAATACAGTAAGTCCCTAATTTACAAGCGAGTTCCATTTTGGGAGAACAATCATAAGTCAGATTCATTCATAAGTCTGACAAAGTGAGTCTTATATATCTTTGAAGCAAATATACAATGTATTTTGCTTTGCACTTCCTGGCAGTCCCCTCTACATCACCACTGCTTTTCCTCTTGCTTCTGGACATCCTGGACTCTGACTGAGCACTGTACTGCTGTACACTGTCACACTGTACACTCAGCACACAGCACACAACCGTGACAATGTCCTACAGACACGTTAGCTGCTTCCACTATTCCCATCTATGAATGTTCATAATGTGAGGTCCATTCGTATCAATGAAAGTTTGCAACTGGAATGTTCGTAAGTCAGGGATTTACTGTATACTGGTATTTGATAATCACTATAAGCATAATTTTCCTTCAAATATAAAACTAGAAAGTCACGGGAATAACTGTTTGAAATAGAAACAATACATGGCTTTTCAGATTTTCAGTATTCGTGTTAAGAATTGTGTACAAAGTAAAATGTCTGTATTCACCCTCAATGCAAGCAATACAATCTCAATTAATAGGAAAAAAGAAAACTTCCCAGTTACTGTAAATCTTCCATACTGTTTGTCCATGAGAGAAACAATCAGGCCTTACACATCCTCACTCAAGAACAATAGGAAAGTTATAGACCTCCAGCTTACAATGGCCTATAACTAGATCTATTAGCTAGGTATTATGATTTGATTTGAAATGTCCAACTCATGTGCTAACGGCTTGATTACCAGTTGATGGACTTTTGTGAGGTGACTGGATCATGAGGGGTCTAACTTAATCACGTGGATTAATACACTGATGAGATCGTAATTTGATGGCATCACTGGTGAGGTGATAGAAACAGGAAGTAGGGCCTAGTTGAAGGTAGGGTATTACAGGGGCTTGACTCCGGGGATTATATCTGCTTCCTGGTCCTTTCCTTTTGGGCTTCCACACGCTCTCCCACCCTGCTTCCTGGCTGCTATGAGGTTAGAAGCTTTCCTTGCCATGCCCTTCACCATGACATTTCTGCCTTGGAGCCACCCAAGCACTGACTAAAACTGCTGAAACCATGAGCCAAAATAAATCTTTCATCTTCTAAGTTAATTTTCTCACATATTTGGTCACAAGCTAATTAACACACTAAACCATGTCCAAACTGTTTAAAAACAGTTGCAGCAGCTGCTAAAATTGTAGAATCCTCTCTGGAACTCATTCAGTGAGACAATTTATGTCTGCAGCTTTCTCATGCTAAGAAGTTTATTAAATACTGAAGGTACCCAACATTTTTCAGCTAGGAGACTAATGTCTTAAGTGATTTTGTGTCAATATTTCTCAAATCTACATACTGTTCACAGAAACTTTCTGAATGCTGCTGCCCTCTTACCTTTGCTCAACAAAGGGACAACTCCAGTAGTGTCAAATTGGTTTCCCCAAATCTGACTCAAACTAGATTTACAAGAAATAACATTGACTAATCAGAATGATACTCTATATCTCCTATACTAAAAATTCTAAAGGAAAATACCAAGTTGGCTATGATTTCATAAACCAGTATGAATTACTAGAAAGAAGAATACTATCTCATCTTAATTCAGTGCACCTACAGAATTATTTGCCCTCAAGCGTGTGAATTAGCCATGGATAACACATATTGTATCTATATCAATATCAAATATGTTTTTGGGGTAGTCTATGTTTTGGTATGTTACAGACAGAGAGATTTTGGACACCAAATACCATGCCTTTATATAAAAAAAATAGACCTTAGTTTTCTCATCTTTCTGCATTATTGCTCCCCTTACAAATGGCTAGCATAAAAACTGGAGCTCATACCCATAAATAAGAATATCAGGGAAATATTATGGCTGATGTCCAAGCTAAAGCTGCAACTCAAGAGGTACCTAATGTACCAAAACTCTATAACTTGAATGAACTCCGTAAAGCTGATCCAAATAACTTATAAGCATTCACTTAATAAACAATGGTATACTCCTGAAATGGAACAAGATTGGGATAATAAAAGATGTTAATTTAATACAAAATGAAGACTCACAGAGTGTCCAGATCACAATGTGGTACTTCCAGAATCCTTAAAACTTCCTTTGCTGAAAGCTTTAATTCAGCATCTTATCTTGGTACTGATGACACAAATCATGAAAAAATATTGCTACAGGGGTTGTTAGGCAAAATTGTCAAGATGGCTAGACATTGTTTGACATGTTAAACCCACAATCCTGAGAAGACCATTCAAGTGATCTCAAGAACAACTCTTCAACTATCAGCATAATTTGCATATTTGTAAGTGGATTTCATTAAATTACTCATCTTGTGAGTTATCAGTATGTGTGTGTGTAATACTATTTATGCTTTTGGATAGATAAGAACTTTTTTTCTGGCCAAGGACCGATGCAATTATTATAGATTAAAAATGGTTTTCCACTTTGGAGAATCTCAAGCAAAATTTCCAATGGCAGAGGGATTCAATTTACTGAAAAACTGTAAATTAATTAAACACAACTAATCAAATATCATGACACTATCATTGTCTCTAACATCCTCAATCTTCAGGAAAGATTGAATATACCTACAATATTTTAAAGTTAAAATTGGCAAAACCAATTGAAATTACACTAGTATCTTGGCCTACTTCTTGCCTTTAGCTGTTACAACTCTTGGAAAGCAAAATTGTTATTGGATAGACCCATCTCCTTGATGATGGAAACTTGTGTTCATCCAGTCCTTGTAAACTTTGACAGAATCCAATATTGTGAAGCACTAATTCAATTATCGCAGAGTATACTAGGTAAAACCAACTCTCAAAGACCCTCTGCCTAAAGAAGACTTGGTATCTCACATGCTGGAATCTAATAAATAGATATTCTGGAAAAGACATCACTGAAAAAACTTCATTTGAGCCTAGCAGGGAAGGATCCTATTAGGTTCTTTTAATCTCTCATACAGAAGTTAAATTACTGAGAGCAAGCCTTGGGTCCTTGTCGTGAACTAAAAAGAGCTCCTTAACACTCTTACATTTGTTAACCCGTAGCTAGCTCACTTTAAAGACATAATAGGGAGGGATGGAGGGGTTGAAGGGAGGGCAGGGGAATGGGGAAAAGAGTAAGAACCAAGATATATTATGTAACAGTACAAATTCCCATTGATGAATGTCATCATACTGTATACCTAAAATTAATGAATAAAAAAATAAAGACAGGCAAAGGAATGTTTCCCCCAGAAGCAGATGACAGAATGAGGTAAATATCTTTTGCTCAAGAACATAGAATAAAGTCCTACTGGATTCCTTTTCTACTTTCCAGAACTTGTTCTCATCTCCATGATAATTATTATGATCCTCTTATCTTGCAAAGTAGCACAAAATGTTTAAATTCTATTTTTACTTCTATTAGAAACCTTCACTATCCAAGTTGAACATAAACTCCATTTCTACATGCATGATTGCTCTCTACAATCCAACACAGCCTCCTTCACTAACCAAAATAAAGACTGGCTATGTAGCCATATAAGTGTTTGAGAAGAATCACAGCACTAGAACTAGCTCCTATACCCATTTGGATGATCAGCTCAGGAAAATGGCTTTACAAAAAGGTCTGACATCCTTCTTTTGGCAAAATAAGTCATTCAAATAATATTTATGACCAGATGGTTTTGTACTGGCAAGAAGCATTAGAAGCCACAGAGAATTTAATTAATATAAATTTTATCACTAGTGACTTATCTCTATGCATAGAAAACAAAAACATTAATAGTACTACACTTACTTAAGGACATGGGAGTTTTTGAAATTATTTTTTACTTAAATGACATTTTTCCTTCTAATTTTAATCTTCAGTGTTATCTGCCATTAATGGTATTTTTGTCACCAAGCTTTTGGCATTTTTTCATAAGTAAAATCATACAAATTTATTTTATTTTTTGTTTAGTTGTTGTAGACAGGGTCTCACTACATAGTTGAGGCTGGCCTTGAACTCACTATGCAGCCCAAGCCAAACTTGCAGCAATCCTCCTGCCTCAATCTCTGGAGTGCTGGGATTATAGGCATGGGCCACCACCCCTGGACTTACAAATTTATTTTAATATATTAGTTGTAAGTTTTCTATGTAGTAAATATGCATATGTAAATCTGAATTTTTCACTTGCATTGGAATTATTTCTGTGGATTACAATCACCATTGCAAACTGTATGCAAAATCTGTATTTGAGTAGTTTCTCTTAATTGGAGTGCTTCCATGTTGAAATCAAAGTTCTCCTTTTCCTAAAACTGTGATCATTAGATGATAATATGTACTTAACAACTGATAATGTAATATAAGGGCTTTTTCTTTGTTAATTTTAATCTTTCTCATCTTTATAAAACATACTGTTGAGCCATCTCATCTTTGTGTAGCATTACTGTTCCTTTGTGTTAATTTGGTTTTTACTTCCCCTTGTAGTAACAGTCTGTTAATGATTCCTAAGAGATGATGGATGATTCAGTATGTAAAGATTTTTATTATGCACTGCCATTGTGAAATTCTTTGTGTTTCCTATTTACTTTGTTTTATTTTTTGGTTATGCTTTGAAATACAGTCATGTTCTGTCTTATAAAAAAAAAAATAGTATGACCCTTATCTTTAGTAGTCTTAGATTCACTCCATAGTCAAACCAGTTGGTTTGATTCAGATCATGGAGACTCTATATATAACAACATGGAATAACAAATAGAAAATGACAATGAAACTTTCAAGTATACCATTAAGGAACTTACTGAAGCCACAAATTTGATTCAGTACAAACTCCTTAGTAAACTGAATGCCTCTGTAGTACCATATCTACATTATGTCAGGTAGATAAGTTTTATATACTGGACAAATATTCATGGAAAGGGGATCAGTCATTTTTGGTGACAGAATGCACAGATTACTTTATCAAATTCATAAAAACGATTTATGCTCCTATCCTAGTTAAAACCCCAATCATTCAAAATGGCAGTGTATAGATACCAACATGCAGAAAATAATCATGATGTTCACATTACTCCTGATTGGTGGGTAGTGGGGTCTTAACACTCTCTATTAATAACATTGAGTTGTTGTTATTCTGTGTACTAACAATATGTATAAAGATCTCTACTCACATATTCTGAATGCCGTTGATTGACTTATCTCTCACCTCAAATAACTAAATATGACTTTCTAAATAATAGTCAAATTCTAAACTTGCTACCATTTGTAGGCAGAACAACATCCTATGAACAAGTTTCTCGTGTCAAAACTCAGTTATACAAATTTTTGTTATTTCATTGTCACAACTCTCTTCCCTCTACTTAATCTTTGAATTAGAAAGATCACTTACCAATATTTTTGAAACTCTTAAAAAAATGTTTTACAATACTTTAAATTCTCTTTAAGCAATACTATATGAAATGAACAATTTAGTCTCAGGTATACTCCAAAAGACTTTTTGATAAAATAACTTCTCAACAGGAGGAGCTTTATGCTCTTCTTAGAGAAAAATGCTGGTTTTATGTGTCAGAAATTGTAGCTCTGAATTTCAGAATCTTAAAAAGTAAAATGTGCACATTTAATCTGAAAAACTCAATTGTTGATCTGTCCAACTGGATAAATCTTGTCTCTTGGGAACCTGGCTTGGGAATATTTTTCAAACTCTTGGTCTTTAGTTCAATCATAGTGCTAATATTCCTGTACGCTGCACCCCCTCAGGAGACTTAAATGCTGGTCAGAAGCCACTAATTCATCAGTCTTCTTGAGAACTGAATGTCAGAAACTGTGTAAATTTGAATTACCAGGGGAAAAAAAGAAAAAACTTATTTGGATTCTAGTATGAACTCTTTAGAGGACCATGAGGGAGGGTACATGTGAGAACTGAGAGGAACACATGAATCTACTGAATGACGGGGGGCAGGGAGGATTGTTACATATAAACTTTTAGAAGCCATGGTTTAAATATAACCTAGAACAGACATCCATAGCTACATAATCAAAATTTAAAACTGTTCATATCTCCCCAAAATGTAAGCTCTATCTATAAACAAAATTCAAGCTTTACCAGGTGAGCATGAACCTTAAAAATTCTTAGCCAATCAGCTGGAAACAAGTTTATGCAGCACTGCTACCTTAAAAAGAACGTAAGCTTTAAGTAGCCAATCATGACCAAGAACAATACACTCTGTCTTTTATAAGCTGTGCACTGAGTTGCTTTTAGTTTGAAATCTACCAGAATGTAATCTGTACTTTTTCATATTATATGACAATAAACTTTAAAAGTTTTCTAACTTTCTCTGATTTTATTTTTGACAAACTAAAAAGTCTCAGTTAAAGTAGTTTTAGACATAGACAGAAGATGGACTTACATGATGTCACAAAGACCCAGTCTCCCTCCTGTTACTTAGTTCTGCTTCCTCTCTTTTCGCTTCATTCAGTAGTAACTCAAAGCTTTTATCACAGCAGCACTGCAAGTCTGCTGGAAGAGAGCCCCTCCTTTCCAATAATTTCAGCAAAAGATCCACTCTCCTTGGTGAGGGAAACAATGCTCTAATCATTCATCGTGGAGCATGTTCCCTCTCTGGGTACAGAGGCTGAGAGCGAGGAAGTAGCTGGCCAATCATGATGCAGTTATCAGGCAAAAGGGAGAAGGGTGCTGGGACCCCAAAGATAATCGTTGTCCACCAAATACATTAATCTTGGAAAAAGACTGAGGAAATACAATTCAGCTAAGGAAGTATAATCTTAGAATAATTAATGGTTTAGAGTATCAGTTAACAGCTGTTTAACTGTCTAATCACTCCTGGAATATTGTCTACAGTTCTTGGCACTGTCCTTTACAAGAGGCATAAGGCTGATAAAGTTTCCCTAAAACTATGTTCATCAAAGAATTTATGAAGAACAGTTGAAGAAATCACAGGATGTTTGCTTGGGAGAAAAGACCTAGGGGATAGAAAATCTGTCTTTAGTTGTTCAAAGTCCTCACTTACAACAGGGTGTCCTCTGTGTGACTTCACAGAGGAAAGCCACAGGACTGGGTAGGGTGGCAGTTTTAGGTTCAACAAAGTAACCTGTAACTGTGACACCTGGCTGATTTAAATTAGGGAACTCCCTTTACCAAAAATGTTCAAATAGGGTTTGAATGTCAAAACTCCTGGAATGCTACAAGAGTCTGTTGGGATATTACACAGTGCAATAGCATTGTACATGGAAGTTAGGCTCTGAGTCAATGAGTGAGGCAAAAACCACTCACAGCCAAAAATGCCATGAGAATCATCCATAAAATTGGTATGTAGATCATGATTTGGGGTATGTCATACAAATGTATAATATACTTAGTAACACAAGTTATAAAAATGAACGCAATCTTTTAAACACTGGTAATCACAGAGCCCTGTGAGGAGCTTTGTGCAGTACGTAGGGACAGAATAAATAACCACTGATTCCAGTCTCCTATCTCACATTCACTTCAGGGCACATACGGATCGGGTGTAATGGCCAGTACATCGTTGACAGCACCTCACGCTCTCCTCTTACTATCCAACAAGCACATTCAATTGAACCATCCTGTTGTATAATTTGACTAGCTTTTGTCCCTGGTTCCTGGGAGGGAAATTCCACAGACTTACAATTTCCCAATTAACAGGAGTATCTGTTATTCATGGGACTCTTGGGTCATCTGAGTTTACATTAAGAGATAAGGCTCCTTAGGATGGCAGCTGGTCACCAGAAAGACCAAGGACATGAAAACAAGGTTGGGATTTGAGCCTAAACTTTGGGGTAGAGGGGCTGGAGATGGAGTTCAGTCACATGGCCAATGATTTCTTCAATCGTGCCTACATAATGAAACTCTAAGAAACCTGGATGTTGAGCTTAGTGAAACTTCCTGGTTGGTGAAACCTGTCAATGTCCTAGTAGACAATGCACCCTAATTCTACAGAAAGGTGGCATGGAGACTGTCTGGGACCCTTTCAGACCTTGCCATGTCTTTATTTAGCTGGTTCTGATTTATATTCTTTATGAAACTGCAATTGTAATTATGGTGCTTTCCTAAATTTTATGTGTTATTCCAGTGAATCAGCAAACATCAGGTTTTTGTAGGCTGAATTTGTAGTCAGTGATCATAAGTTTGGGTGACCTGGGGACCCCTAAAGTGTAGCTGGCATCTGAAGTAGAGGCAGTCTTGTTGCTAACCATGCCCTTTACCCTGTGAAGTCTGACACTAATTCTGGGTGATTAGCATCAAAGTTGTTTGGTAGCACAGTAGTTGTTACCAGACATGTTCTGACTTAAATATGGGATGTGACTATACAGTACCTCAAAAGAGCCCCATAACTTCCTAACTCTGAGAGAGAGAGAGAGAGAGAGAGAGAAGAAAACCAAAGTTAGTACTTTTATCTTGGCCCATAGAGAAGCAGTTGTCTCTGTCTCAATGAAACTTAGGCTCAAAATATACAGGAGAACTTGAACATAGGAGTCTTGAGTTCATATAATTTTGTTATTTATTTGTTACCATAAAGCAGCTAAGATTTAATGATGGATCAGCTTATCTACAGAAAGGCCAGGAGAGCATGGAAGAAAAGACAGAGCCCTTCTTAAATTAAATATTAAATATTTCCTAAATCAGAATATAGCCTGGAGACACTGACACCCCATGGGCATAAGATAAGCATGACCATGGCCTAGTAGCTCAAAAGGGGCCAAGGTTTTTCTTTTTCCTTCAGAGAAATGTGAATCAAAACTACTGCCAATTCCACAGCAGCATAGGGGGAGGGGAAGTAGACCAGAGTGATCTTTCAGGGCTGCGAGGACAATGCTTTATTTTCACACTTCCTGTAGTCAGAAGCCGAACAGCAGCAGTATTCATCTCGAACACAACATCTATTCAAATCCCATATGGTGCACTCAGAAATGTCACCCTGTTCCCTTGGCATAGAAGGGTACAGGGTAAATTCCCAGAGAGCAGAACTGGGAACAAAGGTAGAAGGTACAGGGGATCTTCACAGCTGAGTATAAGGAACAAGTTTCTGAATGGAAGATGCTCCTCATCAGATAAAGTGAGAGACTGCCCTTCTGGGCAAGGAGTGAGACCCCTAAATCCTACAGTTGTGACAGTGTAACTCTAGCCTGACTATATGTTCAAAGAAATACCAGGGAACATAATCCAGATAAGCCCTTTCAGCTGGGTTCTTACTGCCAATATTTCTCAACAATAAATCCCACTAGAATACCTCCTGCATGATGTTATTTGGGGCAGTTAAGGGAGATTTTGGAATTACTGCAATGCCATTTAAATTCATTATCTAATGCTAATTAAAATGATCTGTTTCACTGTCACCAAGGAAAATCTTGTTAAGAGAAATTGATGAGCTGCAGCAAGCTCTCTGGTATTAGGCTGGGAGCAGATGTGTGGTATAGCACCATGTGTACCCTGCTGTTGACAGTCAAGGGTGAGGGAGAATTAACCTGGCAGTGCCCCCGCCTCGGGCAGATTTTGAGAGTCAGGCATCTGAAGAGCACTCCACTCCACAGCAGACCTGTCTCTGACCCTGTATGCAGTCTCTTCGGAGAAGTCTTCTCACTTCTCCGGGTAGGGCTAGATCAACGGTCTTTAAGCTTGGATCCATATTAAGATTCATCAAGGGAACTTTTAACAATCTGGGTACCTTGCTGCTCCTGACAAATTAAGTAACAATCTCTACTAGCAATGTTCAGGCAAAAGTGTGTGAAAGCTCTTTAGCAGCTCCACTATACAGGCAAGGTCTGTTACTACTACATTCAATGGTGTCTAAGGACCCTTCCAATCCAGTGCTCCTGTGCCCCTGTCCATTTCTAGACAGGTGACAGGAAATTATTTGCTTATTCCATCATTCTCTGTGGACACTGGTCATGAATCTGACCCATATGAATTGCACCTGAATATTAGCCAAGCAGTAAATGCCTAGCTCTCTTGGCAATCTTCATACATGTCTAGTACATATTAGGAGCTCAATAGTCACTGGATGAATAAATGGCAGAGGACAATTCAATTTGCAATTCACCTTGGCTTTCTGCTTCATGTTGAGTAGCATTTTCATCATTTTATCACCAGAACAAGGAAAATGAGTTACAAAAGTTAAATAACCTATTACATTCATCTTTAATAACAAAATATCCCAAAATAATAGTGGCTGTCTTAGTTACTTTTCTTGTTGCTGAGACAAAATATCCAACACCCAAAGTTAAAGGATTTAGCTAACAGTTTATAGAAGTTTCAGTCCATAATGGGGTGGTTCTAAGGCAGGGTGGTATAGCAGAGGGGCATCACAGAGGAGAAACAGTTCATGGTAGAGAAGGTAGCAAAGCAAGCGAGGGACAAAGACAAGCCTCCTTCTGCCCACCCTGGTGTGTGTATGTTCACACTCACAACCTTAATCCTAGCCAGAACTGTGCCAAACCAATCAGCGCACTGATTTAGTAATCACACACCGTTGATCCCAGCACCACACACTCTAGATCCAGCCTCCTTTGAAAAGCGCCCCCCCATGACCGCATGAGGCTTTGGGGGACATCTAGACACAAGCCATAACAGCAGTTTTAATGAGTTTATTTCTTTGGCTTTCATTGTATGGTCCTTGAGCCAGCACACTCGTTATCACCTGGGATCTTGTTAGAAATGCAAACTCCTGGGCTTCAGTTAGACCTACTGAGTTAGAAACCTTGGAGGCCGAGGGGCCCTGAGGAGGGTGGGCGGGCACTACCTGAAAGGGGCTCCACCTTGCTCTGGGAGTATTAGGTCCCCGCCCCTTGGGCCCCAGTCCCCTTCACCAACCCACCTCCCCGGCCGCCAGGTGGCAGCCCCTTGCTTTTCAAACTGGAAACCCCAGAGAAAATGGTGCCCCCTGGGTGCGCCCCCTGTGGGACTGGTCCCTTCCTTGGGGGGATGTCAGGTCCCTCTGCCCTCTTTCTCTGCCACGGGGTGAGGCTGGCACCTCTTTAGATCTTCAACTCTGATCCTTATTTTCCCGGAAGTGGCCAGGAGAGGGTGGCCGAGCCCCTAGGAGTTGGGGAGCATAACTGGAATCTCCTGTCCCCACTGGCACCAGGAGGGAGCCACTGGGTCTTGCGTGCTTTTCAGGATCACAGCACCTGTCCTACCCTGTTGGGGCCTGCTGGCTTCCCTGGCTTGAAGCCACTGGGTCTGTCCCCTGCACATTCTGGCAGGATGGACTGGGGACACCGTGCTCCTCTCTCCTTTCACCCTGGCTTGACTGGAAGTAGAAAATGATCAAAGTATTTTTTTTTTTTAAGTAAACGTTATTGCTGCTGAAGGCTAGTTGTACTTGTGCGTGGTCTGGGGGGGGAGGGGTCTTGGCACCTGTGCCCATCTCCCCAGCTGGCCTCTTCCTGTCCTCCCACCACCCCGAGCCCTGGACCCTCCTGCCTCATCCACAGCCCTGCTGGGATTGGTGCTCCTGGGCAGAATGGAGCTTGTGTCCTGCCCACCAGGGGGTGCCCTGGGGTCTCCATCTCCTGGCTCCCAGCCCCCCCCACCCCGCCCATCTCACTCTGTGTCGTTTCTATAACTCTCAGCACCCATGATAGTAGCTTTGAACTGAAAAGAGCAAAATAAAATAACAACAAAAAAACCTGGGAGGTGGAGCAAAGAAATCTGTTTTAACAAGGCCTCAGGTGATTCAAGAACCAATACCCTTCAAATAATTTGAAAGATAGTGTAGCAATTCTATGAAGTTGTCAGGGACCCAGGTTTCTTTCTGCTTACCATTTTCATCCCTATGATATGAACCCTGTCCCTAAAATCCAAAATGGCTTTTGAGGTTCCAGCCATCACACCCAGATTTAACAGAATAGGAGGAAAAGAGCACTTACTCGTCCTTAGTGTGATTTCTGTCAGAGCACAGCACTTCCCTTTACATCTCAATGAAAAAAAACACGTTTTTTCTGTAAAGTTAGAAAATGTGTGTTAGTTGGATACACAGCCACCTGGCTAAAAATTGAGATACTGTTTGAGGTTTTAAGACAGTAAACTAGCTGTTTCTGTCTTAAGGAACACTGACTTAAGCGTGCTTTCTATACATCCCAGAACTGTGTAAACTTCACCACAGGGCAGTAAGTTGTTTCACCTTCACAGCTCTATGGCGAGCTGTGGTCATTTTACAGATGAAAAAGCTGGGGACTGAAGCAGTGGGTTAATGTGCCCCATTAGTAGGGAGGCATGAAGCAGGATTTTAACCAGGCAGTCAGCATCCACAGCAGGCATTTTTAGCTTCTAAGCTATGTTACTCTGA